GGTTGTAATGCATCATTTAAACCAGTTGAAAAATCTGCACAGAGGCGAATAGAACCGTTTGGCTTCTTAATTACGACGACAGAAGCGGCCCACGGTGCGAAATTTATGAGCTTGTTCACACCAATTTGTTGCAATCGATCAAGCTCATGCGCAACGAGTACTTGAGACGCATACGGGACCGGACGCCTGGGTCGAAACACGGGAGCGATATCAGGTAATAAAGTAAGTTTTGCCTGCATCTTGTTGCAATGCCCCAGTTCAGGTTGAAAAACGCAGGCATATTTTACCTGAAACTGTTCGGCAATAGTTTGACGTGGATGAGGTGGTACGGTTGTATGATGCACCATGACGTTCGTGTCGGAACACACAAGCTTCAATGGCACACTAAGCAAATTCACTCTTTCGATCCAAACAATCCCAAGAAGATTAATGTCAACAGAAGAAATGAGGTAGATAGTTCCAAAGAGCTTGAGATGCTTAAACTTAACTTCACATGTAAACTCACCATCTAACTTCAGTGGTTCACCGGATGCATTTTGGGCGGTCAAATTAGCGTGTCTGAGTGCTGGTCTACAGAGTTTCATCCATGATGCTCGAGAAATCATGGTAATGTCCGATGCCCTATCTAGTTGCAATGATACGGGAACATCATTCATTTCAACGGTGAGGTATTTCGCTTGCCGGAAAATTCTGTGCGACAGGTCGCGAGAACTACTTTTGTCTTTGCTCCGCTAAACGTCTTTCTGGATTTAGAGTTTGTGCGCAATTTAGGGCGTGACACAGTCCTGGAATTGTATGTGGTGTGACAATGTGATTCTTTGTGACCAAGGCGCTTGCACTTCTGACAGAGATGTTTCCTATAGGAACAGAAACGTACGAAATGCCATCCACCACATTTCTAACAAAAAGTTGGAGGTTTCTGGTTGGGGACGCTATGACTCACATTTTTACAGTGAACAGCTGTGTGATAAATTTGCGGTTCATTCCTAGGAAGAGCATTTCAATCATTTTGGTATCTTGCTTTAGATTAATCAGTCTCTGGCACTCAGCAGCAATGTCCTGTAATGTCAAACGAGGCTCCTGTTCTAACTTTTGCAGGATACGTGTACGTATGTCAGCATCGGCGTGAGGCTGAAGACTACAAACAAATATGAGGCCACTGAACTGATCAGGTGTCATCATACCCAGTTTGAAACGTTCACACTCTCGATTAACAACTGCAGCATGCGTTATATAGTCATGAGTAGCACGTTTGACCAACTTAAAACAATGATAACAAATACTGAACAAGGATGCTTGCTCACCGAAAAAATTCTTCAGTATTGTCACCGTCTCATCGAAGCGAAAGTCTCTGGGGTTCATTGGCAGCACAAAATTTGTGTACTGCTCATGTTCGACTGCACCGGGTAACAACAACCGAACTTTCTATGCATCATCTTGTGCCTCCGATTCAACGCGGAAAATATCTTCGTATTTCTGAAACCAGGATACAAAAGTTACCCTGTTTGATTCATCAAAATTGAACTCCGTACTGGATGCTGTAACTGCGCCTACTGAGATCCGTGCGCCAACCTCTTGGGATTCTTGTTTAATGTTCTGTGCGGATAAGTCGAGCAGCTGCTTCTGGGATCTATCCAACTGCACCTGCTATTGATGGAGGAGCTGTTGCATTGCTCAAAAGAAATGGCCATTTTCCAACACATCCTTCGCCAGAAATCTGTTGTGTCCTCAGAGCTCGACATAGTGGCTTCCTAGTTGTACCCCGGGAGATCAGAAGACAAGCGCCAAACGATTAGTATGTTGGA